GGCCGATGCGCCTGATACTCCTGTTATCGGGGGAAGCGCAGGTGGCTGCTCAGCAACTGCCCGTGCGGAACCTCCTGGTCTTTGACGATCTCAAAAGGGCCATCATCCAGCGGGTCGGCCGAAGCCCGGAGCAACATCGCCAGCGATTCCGTTCGCTGGACCTGGGCGAGAGCGGCCGACCCTTCGTGCTGGCCCAACGGCTCCGGGACTCATGTCGCAAGTGGCTACTGGCTGAGGGAAGCGACGTCGACCACATCATCGACCGGGTGGTACTGGAGCAGTTCATCACTCGGCTGCCAAAGAAGACGGCAGAGTGGGTCCAGTGCCACCGACCGACGTCGCTGGACTCAGCCATCCAATTGGCGGAGGATCAGATGGTGGCGTGCCCTGGGGTCGGCGAATCCCTTCCAGCTGTCTCTCTCTCTTCCCCTTTTATTTTCTCCCTCTCTCTCTGCCTCTCGACCTGTCCCTCTTCCCAGGTCCCGTCCTCCAGGTCCTCCGCGAGTCCCGCCCCGAGGGCTGGAGTATGCTACTGGCCCGAGAGCTCCGCCCAGGGGGGCGGGGCTGACCACGGCTAGGACCGATGCCGCGTCTGGTTCCCCGCTCTCTCCACGCCAATCATTTGACCCACTTACTCGCCGCTCGTCTCCCAACTCTCTCTCCCGCTGCAGACCTCGCTGAACCACGCCCCCCTCGCCACATTGACATTGGCCGATTGTTTAAAAACAGCCAATGATCAGGGCAGATCAAACTTGTCAATCGAAATGGGACAGAAAAACATGTCATCAGACTGCAACAAATACTGCGTGTAAAGAAAGTATCTCGTGTGTAGAATTTATTGCTGTTGAAGTTAATGCTATATTAACACATTAGTGTAATCTCACTTTCAACCTCATCAGTAAACATCCCGTAAACCGTCCAGGAATTACTACCAAAATACAGGATGTTCCCAACTAATTCAGCACAGCTGGCAAACTTACCCACAACTGTGATTATGCATACCAAGGAATTTTAAAGCACTAACAAACACTAAATAATTTTAGCTAACCAAGTAAGGCCAAGTACACACTGTAAAGTTTCAGTTGTGACAAACGCATTAAATACGAGAGTGAATCCCTTAAATTAAGATTTGTGTGTGTATGGAACAGAACTCTCGAAATTGTGATGATTGACACCATGATACCATATCAATGACCTGGCATCTCATGTGTTTGGCATTTACTACTTTTGACTAAAGTTATATTACAATGTACAAGACTTATGTTTATGTTTGCAGATTGTAACTAAACCACCATTTCTTATCGAAATATATCGTACAATAAAGAGTGTCTTCACAGTTAGAAGGCATAGTTTGTACTGTACTGTAATGTCGTTTCCATTTTCTTATTTATAGACAAATAATTTTGAAATTTCCACAAAGATTAAAAGGGTAAGAGTAAAAGGCTATGTCGATTAGTAATGGATTATAAATATACTTAATTATTATGAAAATAACCAAGATGGCTTGAAGAACACAGATAAACCATATATTGCTGCAGTCGAGTGTTTATTGTCTTCATGTTTCATAATTCAAAACATTTGTACTCTGTCACAGCGATAGCTGGATGCTGTTGTCCACATAGCTATGTATAGCTAGATGCCCTATTAGCGGAAGTTTCCATGGGCATCTATACGTAAGCTGTCCCCCATATTGGAATGTCAAAGTCGGTCCGTGCATCTGCACTGCAACTGTAGTTATACGCATGTATGAATATCTATATCTTTAGTAGACTTAAGAAGATGCTTTTGCTAAACTAACACAATACAACAAGACAAAGCCATTAGCTAACAAGACATTTAAAAGGTATTTTAGTTTAAAAACCTGTAATATTGAGTTAATATATATTAAAAACATAAACCAACACATTCATACCCGTTAAAGTTTATTCCGTTTTTTCAGGAATTTAAACTTAGGAAGTTCGGGTTGCGTACGGGCGCCCTCTGGCTTCCAGTATGAATGAAACAGACATTACATTTGTTTATAGCGCTCAATAATGGCCAATCCATCCTATTTTGTGTAAAAATAAGAAAAATAATACTTCTCTCAAAAGAAGTTTGAGTTTATGATAATCCATGTTTTTCTCCAGTGTACAGAAGTGTGCTTTTTTTATCACATTTTAAATTGCAAATCACAAAAAACACTCTGATGTGCCAAGCCATCAGAACCGAACATAACCAAAAACTGTGGTTAAAAAACCGAGGTGTGTAATCAACCGTGGCCTAACTGTATTGATGCATCCCTAATTTCTAGCATACATGTTGTTGGACTTGATGCTTTAAATGTGTACATCAGTGGTTTTCAATCCTGGTCCTGGGGACCCACTGCTCTGCACATTTTGTATATCTCTCTTATCTGACACACACAGTGCAGTTTCTGGAGCTCTCATCTAATGAGCTGGTAATCTGAATCAGGTGTGGTAAATAAGGGAGACACACAAAATGTGTGGTGGATCCCCAAAGAGCGGTGGGTCCCCAGGACCAGGATTGAAAACCACTGGTGTATATATTAAAACATGTTGCTATGTGCCGTTAAACTGGGGTTAACTTGTATTTTTGTCAATTTTTTCCTTAGGCCTAATGGCACTGAAAGAAGAGAGCGAAGAACTAGATAAAATGGAAGAAAAGGATCTGTATGAAAAACATCATGACTTCATAACTAAAGAAAAAAACTTTAGTTACTCACAGACTGAAAATACTTCTTCACAAAAAAAAGCTCAAAACACAGGAACTAGAAGTTATTTCACTTGCCAACAGTGTGGAAAAAGTTTCACTCAAAAAGGAAACCTTAATGTCCACATGAGAGTGCATACTGGAGAGAAACCTTACACATGCCAACAGTGCGGAAACAGTTTTACACATAAAGGAACCCTTAATAGCCACATAAGAAGTCACACTGGAGAGAGCCCTTACACCTGCAAACTGTGTGAGAAGAGTTTTTCACGAAAAGAAAGTCGTAAGATTCACATGAGAATTCACACTGGAGAGAAACCACACACATGTGATCAGTGTGGAAAGAGTTTTACACATAAAGGAACCCTTAATGCCCACATGAAAACTCACACTGGAGAGTGCCCTTACACCTGCAAACTGTGCGGGAATAGCTTCTCACGAAAAGAAACTCTTAAGACTCACATGAGAATTCACACCGGAGAGAAACCACACACATGTGATCAGTGTGAAAAGAGTTTCAGCAGTGTTGCCAACTAATTTTCAGAGAGTTGCTAAAGGAAAGTTGATTTGTTGCTAAATGATGTTGTGATGTCATTGCCCGATGAAGTCATTGCATAATCACGACGCAAAATTGTCAACATCAAATCTCAGCAAAAATATATACTTTATATATGTTAATTTAGATTTGTAAAATAATATGTATAATATAATATTAAAATATAAATAACTGTATTTTTAAATACATTGAATTATTGAACACCTACACATTTTTGAATGATTACAATTTCAGTTTTTTTTAATAGCTAGCAAACTAGTAATACTACACATTCTCAACAATTATGCTTTAAGCAGTGTATTAGTAGTTAGTTAGTATGCTACAC